ACTGTATCACAACTCCCATCAACTCTAGTCATGATGTTTAATAGTTACAGAATCATAGAGCTGGAAGAGACCACATCTAGTCCAATCTCCTGCCATTCATGAAAAGCACAATCATCCCCAACAGATAGCCATCTAGCTTCTATTAAAAACCTCCAAAGAAGGTGCTGCCACCAAACTCTTAGGCACAGAGTTCCACTGCTGGGCAGCTAATATGGTCAGGAAGTTCTTCCTGATGTTCAGGTGGAATCTCCTTTCTAGTAACTGGAGCCCATTGCTCTGAGTCCTAGTCTCCAGGGCAGCAGAAAACAAGCCTGCTCCCCTGCTCCCCTACTTCCCCTTCAGGAGTTGTAGTCCAAAATATAGAACAGGCATGGGCAAATATTTTTGTCCTGCGACCACATTGCGGGCCAGGCCGGGCCAGGAGGGAGGATGGGGTGGGCCTGGGAGGGGCAGGGCGGGGCTTGGAGGAGGCAAGGCATGGGATGGGGCCAGGGGCAGGAGTGGGCAGGAGTGGATCCCCTTTTGGCTTTCCTCTCAGCATAAGGATGAGGTTGCTTGCCTCATCATTATGCTGGGAGGAGGGTGAGGTTTTGGAGCTCCCTTGGCCCCTGCTTGCCTCTTCCTTCTGCCAGCATCAGGATGAGGCACACTGACTCTAGGAGAAGGGAGACAGGTGGGGGCTGAGGGGGCTTTGGAGCTCTTTTGGCCCTCACCTGCCTCCTCCCCTGGACCAGGCTTCACCTGGCATCAGGACAGGCCTGCAACTCTTCCTGATGCTGGGAGAAGGCAGAGGTAGGGGAGCTGAAGGGGATTTGGAGCTCCTTCAGCCCCTGCCTGCCTCCTCTTCTGGGCCAGGCTTTTCCCAGCATCAGGATGGGGCCACACTTTGTCTTGACACTGGGAGAAGGGAGAGACAGGCAGGGGACAAGGGAGCTTTTGAGCTGCCTAGCCCACCATCTGGTTCTTCTCCCAGGACAGGCTTCTTCCAGCATCCGTACAGGGCTGCTTATCCCATCTTTTTGCCAACAAAGGCATGTGGTGGGCTGACAGGACTCCAGAGGGTTCCCAGCTGCCACATGCCTTCCTCTCTCACCATTTCGGCATAAGGATGAGGTGGGCCACCACTTCCTTATCCCAGAGGACAGGGAAAATTTGGAGGGCTGGGCATAAGCATCCAGAAGCCAGTGTCCATTTCACGGGCTTTAGTTTGCCCATGCCTGATCTAGAGAGCCACATAAAATGACATGGCAGGCTGGATTAGTTTGATACATGCATCCCAGAGAATCCATGTATTTGAAATACATTTGCATTATATCTATTGTACACTGCCAAGATCCATTCGAATGCCACATCACATGGGTTTGATCTCCAGGAAATGAAGCCCAGAACATTTTATAATAGGGGAACCATATCTTCACTCATTGAGATTATATTCCTGTCTGCAATAGTTATGTCAAAAAGAAAAGCTTTATCTCCTTCTCCAAGGATAGGGGAATTTTGGCCCTCTAGTTATTTTATGGCCTTCTAGTCCCACAACTCGTGATTACTAACCCTAATGAGAGTTATACGCAAAAACATGTGGAGGGCTAAATCACAATTAAGCTGAAGACAAAATTAGCCATTTATAACCTCAGAACTGTGTCCCCTTTGAGAACTTTGATATTTTTTTTCTCCAGGTCTTCTAGGGCTGTATCTATACTGCAGAATTATAGTGATTTGATAGCACATTAACTGGCATGGATTTGGAATTATGAGATTTTAGTTTTGTGAGATATTTCTTCTTCTCTGTCAAAGGTAGGATATAAATGCAATAAATGAATAAGATAGCAAATAAGATAATACATAAATGAGTGAGATCCTGCATCAACCCATCCAGTTCCATGTAGTTCTCCCATCTCTCCTGACAGCTGTTAAGCCCCAGGCGGGTCGGCAGCGGCTGCTGCTGTGTACAGGCAGAGAGGGGAGGCAGATATCAGGAAATACTTGGCTTATACCTATTTCACATACTTATATACCTGAGATTACATAAAAATCTCTTGTGGTCTCAAGTGGAAAAAAGAGTGGTCTCAAGTGGAAAAAATTAGAAGCCATGCTCTAGACAATTAACACTGCTTACAACCAGTGAGCCTGTTTCAGAGGGCGCCTACATGCTGCACCTACATTCTGCACACAACATAAGGCCCCTTAAAAGCTTTCATGATTGACAAGGGCTATAGGCTTCCTTAGAAATCATCTGTCACCTGAACAGTTTTACAAAGAACTGATTGTGGCTTTCCCATTTGGCTGCTCTATAATAGCTCAGTCTCAGTGAAACACAAAATATGGTATTCAATCTATCATCATTTCAGCAAACTGCTTCAAAGAGTCATCATCCCTTCCAGTGCAAAAGGATGAGATCATTTCCCAAGATCGTCCCTAGGAAACACTTAAGTTTTAAGGCAGAACTTCTTTTTTACTCCTTTCCATTTCTACGTTCATCAGAGGGGGGGGGGGGATGCTTATTTCAAAAGTGCATTGTGGGCTTTATCCACAAGAGGGCAGATGTCCACCATCTTTCACTTTGAGACCTCACCTCTGAGGAAGCTTGCCATAGATGCAGGCGAAACGTCAGGAAAAATGCCTCTAGAACATGGCCATATAGCCCGGAAAAAACCCACAAGAACTGAGTGATTCCGGCCATGAAAACCTTCGACAATACATCTTTCACTTTGCTTTTAATAACAAAACAAGTCACTAGCCAATCTAGCTCCATTCACTTTTGCTGAGTTGTATGGATAGTATTGTGTGATCCATTCTAGTATATGGAAAGTCAGCAATATGTGTGTTGAATGGCAGCCAAGGACTATAATATTAATGCCCTAATAATAAAGGGCATTAGTAAAAGCTCTACCATGAAATCCAGTAGACACCGTACTTTCAAGGCCATGTAGTTCTATATAAAGGGCAGAGATTTGGAAGGTGAAAGACAGTTTTCTGGAGTCTCTCAAAATTTCAAGACTAATTTGACCACATTAGGACATAATCACCAGGGCCCCATCTACAGTGACATTTCCATGCAGTTAGAAGCTACCAAGCTTCAAACTATGACCGCCAACCAACAAACTTACATAAAAAGTGAGTGAAAGAAAACCTTTATGCATTTGTGGTTTGTGTAATCGCCATCTGACTCGTAATCTGGTTTCAGGATTTCCTATGTAACCAACTGCACAACGAAACAATTTTCTTCCATTCCAGTTCCAAACTGCATTAAATGCTCAGTGTAGATGGAATTTTAGTCCTGTATCATTAACATTTAACTGAATTACCTGAGGAGCCCCCAGTGGTGCAATGGGTTAAATGCTTGTGCCGGCAGGACTGCTGACTAGCAGGTCAGTGGTTCAAGTCCAGGGAGAGTGGGCTGAGTTCCCTCTGTCAGCTCCAACTCCCCATGTGTGGACATGAGAGAAGCCTCCCACAAGGATAGTAAAACATTATAAACATCCAGGTGTCCCCTGGGCAATGTCCTTGCAGACAGCCTATTCTCTCACACCAGAAGCAGTTTGCAGTCTCTCAAGTCCATCCTGACACACAAAAAACCTGAATGGCATACACATCTTGAAAATACTTAAGGTATATATGATATTTCACAAAATAAAGGTATTTAGTATCAGAATGAAATGGAGAACCTCATAAATAACAGAACAGATTATTTTATCTGTGTCAAAGATGTTGAGTGCTTTTGTCTCCTAGGGGAAAAGGGGTTTCTGAAGTGAAACAAAGTAGAATTGGAAACTTTCAAGAACTTGAAAGGATTGCTACCTGGCCCAATTGTCTCCATTTCAGTCTGGTTTGCTTTATAACTCCCTTCCTCTCTTATTACCTGTTACTAGGAGGGGCTGACAGGATATCCAGCTTGTTCCTAGCAGGCTCATTCTGAGAGTCTATGCAAACTATATTCACACAGCAGAGGTGTAGTAAAGGGAGTGGGAATGGAAAAACAAAATGAAGACATTGCCTTCAAATGAAAATTCTATGTCCTTCATTAGATTTTCTTAAGTACCCACATTTCTAACTTTATGGAGACTAAAACACTGAAAATTGTTCACATCCACAACTCATATTTCATCTGTTATCAGTACCTTTGTATGTTTGCATGTCCCTTTTCTTTGGATGCTTTAACTGTATTTCCAAATGTTCTTTTGGCATTTCAAACGTATTGCAATGCTCGCAATGTAGTGTATTTATAAATGTAGAAATGACATCTACTTCCCAGTGGCAAGTGGTTGCAGATTTCTTGGCCTCTAAGTGTAATGGTGAACATGCACCTCCCTTCCTGGTAGCACTATGCACAGCCCCTGAGAGCTTGAAGGCCAAACCTTGTCAAGTTTAATTACCACGGAGATGACAGAAAGTTCAAAGGCCAAATTCTGCTGGCCAGGGCCAGGACAACTATAGACATTTTGGACTCCCAAATTGCACCAGGTTCAGTTGTCAGTTTTGCTAAAAAGAGCTAAGGAGCGGGGAAAATGTTTGCATTTGGGGAAAAAATATTCTTTCCGGGTTGAGCTATTTCTTAGTGGTTCCAAACTGAGACACAAAACAATATATAGATAAAGTGCCAATTTATTCAGCAAGTCTGGCCCTTTTTTGCCTTGCACACAAGGATGGAAATACCACAATCAAGATGAAGCAGTGGCAGATTCTCATGGCATGGAATAAACTTTGGTGAGTCCAGGCCATTTAATTAAAGGCGTCAGATTTAACCCATGGCTACCTTGATGTGGAATACAAATCATGGTCCTTCTCCCTACATCTGATATTTTATACACAAAGCCTTGCAAAAAAAAAAACCCAGCTTAATGAGAAAACAGTCACCTGAAAGGCTGCGATTTAAAAGGCAGTGCACTGATACGAAGAACTTTTTTGCTGGCAACTGCTAAGCATAAACACACCTGCATCCTTTTACCTGAGCTACATGCATGTTTTTGCTACACACAAAGTTATGACAGAAGGCCAAAGCATTGGAGTTATTCTGGATTTTATTTTGTTGCTTCTTAGTCCACACAGTTGGTATAAAATCAGAAAAGCAAAGCAAAATAATTGCATAATAATGTCTGGAGTCTTAGCATCAGAAGGCACCGCTTGCACATCTAATATGCGGCTGCCAGTACATTTCATTGCCAGACACACTTCTGGAAGCACAGAAAAGGTTTACAGAGCATTGGGGTAGAATCCTATAGGGGTCTAGAAGGTTTGGTTACTTCCCTCCTGTCTGTGAGAAGAGGAAGGGTGAAGGGGTAGAGAGAAATACCTTGGTTATAAATGCTTTGTTAAAAAAATAATAGTAATAATATCGATAGCAACTTTCCTAAGTACAAAAGCAGTTATAAGCTATATATATATTACACAGAATTATTTATCATTCCTATTCCTTGGTTTATTTCAAAATCATTATTTGACTTTCCAGTGAGTAAAGGTTAAATGGCTTAGCAATACAAGGAATGGTAAACAGATAGCACCATTTCACAGATTTGGTATTCTATTGTGTTGAGGGAAGGGGGAGAAGGACTAGAAAGGGGGAGCAGGAAAGTGTAAGTGAGGAACAAAGAAGGCTTCATTCGTTTATTCTACTTTAGCTTATTTTCAAGGAACGTAAGGAGAAACTCTTTTTATAAAGGCTTTTGGCTACCATTTCCCAACTGCATGAATTCTTGGTTTGTTATATAAACCAATTAGACAAACTTCTTTTCCCTCATCCCACCTAAGTGTTTCTTCCTTCTTCCTTAGCTTCAGCTTAAAATGACCTTGGCCATTTTAAAAAAAAGTGTGAACATCAGTCAGGAACCATTCACCATATGCAAATGAGCTTTAGAGCTTCCAGGTATTGACTTCTGAGAAAGACTGGTGATTAACAAATGTTGCTGCTCCTCTAAGGAGCACAAAGGGGATTTTACACAGGGAATCGGCAGCAACAGTATCCAGCCTTAAGATGCACAGATGGAACTGCACTTTACATATTTAACACCATCTTGGTCATCATGCCAAGAGAATTAGAAGCTTTATACTGTATCTTGTTTTGATAGACATCCTTCTCCTTTCTACATTTTGTCATCGCCATGGGCAACCTAATGTGGGTATTCAAGAGTACTGGCTAACATCAGTGCAATGCATGCCGCATCATATTTTTTCTGCCACCCATCTGTATTTGGCTTAGGGTTCAAAGTGGAAAACTTTGGAGGAGGGGTCCATCAGCTTATGTGGCAGAAGGGGTGGTGCATGTGTATGTGTTGGGTGGTTGGGTAGAACGCAAGACCTTAATTAAATTGTTAGAATTTAAAAGTTCTTAGGCACTTTCTTTAGGCTTTAAACATGGCGGCAGGTCAACAAACAAAAGCAAACAGTACTATGTACATATATGTAAAAAGTGTTATAAATAGGTTTTTTTAAACCATAGATACTATATACATCTTCAATAAACACAGTAACCCTTCTTTCAGTTTGGTTTTTTCTTTCCTTCCTTACTTCCTCATTGGGTTTAGGGTGGATGTGGATGTGGATATGGGTGGGTGGGGTGTGGGTGATTGAAGGGATGGATTTGATGCGTCTGGTGTGGTGGCTTTTTTTTTTGTTCTTTTTGGTTAACTTCCTTCTTGTTTCTACTTCCATTTTCTATCTTCTCAGTGCCCCCTTGTCCCAAGTGCCGCTGGGTTCAGTGGCTTCAACTCCAACACTTCATTCACGCTTCCTCAAGATGACATAGATCACCCCACTGACGACAGCCAGTGGGAAGGCCACCCAGGACAGGAAGTATGTGAAGCCGTAAGAGATGTTCTGTGTTTGAGGCTGCCAATCTTGATACCTCACTGTGTAGATGGCAGCTCCACTCATCACGCATAGGCCTGCGAAGTGTAGAGAAAAAGAAAATAATCATTTCGTGAGAATGAATGAACCCACCAAGACATGTCACTTCTAAAACACTCCCATCTCACTCTCAGGCACATATCTTAACAAGTTCTATCAAATTAAGAGCCAGTTATAAGCAGAACCTAGGAACGTTTCTTTTTGGGACAACAACAATCTCCCTTAGCTGATATGGAAAGGCATGAGTTTAGCTGGGGAATGTTGAATTTGTAATTTATTTTTTAAAGAAAACAAACAAACAAACAAAGACAATTTCCAAACCCTGTCCTTCAGACCTGGATACCCTTTGGATTTTTGCAGCATTACAATTTAGTTTCAAAAAGCCAACCAAGGATAGGACCAACATTCCATCAAAGACAACCTAGCCCTTATTTCCCCGAAACCTCAGACGTCCTGTGCTATCAAAATCATTCCCCACTCCCAGTTCTACACAATGAGCTTTTACCTGTCACTCCAACAGTTCTCCTCAAATGGGAGGAATATGGCCCCCAGTTTGTGTGAAGAATTTATAGTCCCCCACACCCAAACAGGGGAAATTAGATAAGCACTGTCTTAATTACAGAGGCACACTAAGATAATTAAATTTCAGGGACTCCAGTTCACTTGGAAACCTGTTCCATAACTTACTCTATATAATAATTCAAGCAAAGTCTATCTTCCCTCCCTCCCTCTCTCCCCCTTCCCCCGCCCCCATCCTGTTACCCTCTGTTTCCAAAGCCCTGCGATAAAGTTATGAACAGGTCAAACCAGGCCCCTTCTCTGCATTAATGCCACTAGGTTCAGCTTTCTTTCTGTATCGCTGTATCAGCAATACCAGTTTCTAAAACTATACCCACACATGCGCACACACTAAAAGCCCAGCATCAGGGCCTGCCAGGACTACACAATGACTCTTCTATTCACTGCCCAGAACAAGGCATTTTCGTTGATCCCAGCATATTCTCCAACCTGCTCAAATGTGCCACCACAGTCATCTGCGTTCCAAATCCCTGCGACGTGCCTCAGGACCACCTACACCTAACCACAGTGATATTTGAGCTGTACTTTCCTCTCCACACTGCCCCCTTTGTTTGCTGAAAAGTGCAGGAGTGGGAATGTGTTGAATACACTAAGCTGCTGATGTAGCTCACATTCTATGGGCCATGGAGAGGACACCCACGGCAACAGCAGGATCCCAACAATAACTGCAACTTAAAACAACTGTCCCTTGATTTGGGCTAGATTTCAGAGGGTGTTTGGGGGGGGGGGCAGAAGAATGGTCATGTTACTGTTCACCTTAATTCATGAGAAAGAAGAGCATGAATGGTGCTTGTGAAGATCACTAGACAGAAGCTGGGAGACTGGGGAAATTCTATTTCTACTTGTGGTTTCAGAAATGTTTTTGCAAGCCTCAATGTCAGGAGGAGCAGGAAAACTGCTTCCCAGTGCAGGGTGGAGAATTAATATACATGCTTCTTGTATTCCCTTTCTGGCATAAAGAACCCTCCTCCCCCTGCCCCCCAAAAATAACTAAAGCCAGTTCCTATTGCAAAATTATCTGCTGCACTTCCCAAGGGGGTAGTACTCAGCAGCAATATGCCACCTGGCACAACTTGACGCCCATGGCGTGAGCTGAGATTCACTTCCTTTGTGCACACTTCTATTTAATGAGGACACTGCAAAGCTGGGAGCACTATCCTAAGCGCACACAGTGACCCACTGTTGAAACACATGTATCACAGATGTATCACTGAAGAAATCTCATTGCAGGAGGAAAAATGAGAGTACAAATGGGAATATACATTCCCTCAATGCCCTGTTTGACCTTCAGAACATATTTTATCATAAAGCTTATGGAGTCAACCACCCATCCAAAAATGTACATACTTAGATCAATCTTTTATATATATCATAAATATACAGCTGTATATGGAAGTGTTCAAACTAAGGAGGAGTTTTCATTCCAAGACTTAAATGCCTGCCACCTGTTTATCTACTGAAGGAGTCATATGTGGTCCTTCAGATGCTATTGGACTGTGAATCCTATCAACCACAGAAAATGAAGTGAATGCTGAAAACAGTGGAGAGTTACAATTCAATATATGGAGGATGATAACTGCGCACCCCCAACTGGAGAGAGAGAGAGAAAGAGAGAGAGAGAGAGGTGCATGTTGGAGACAGGTGTAGTTACAGACAATTATATGTAGACAGAGATATAAATCATCTCAATCATAGAGAGCTAATTACACTGGATTCCCTGACCATTTCCCGTCCCAAATAAGTTTGGTTTGTCCCCAGATGGGAAATTGTCAGAACCTGATACTCTTAGACTATGCAGCTTTTAAGTTGATTTTCCTGCTGATGGGAAACTTCCCACTGAGAAAGAGAACAAAAACAAACAACCCTGTTCCTTTTAGTATTGTGGTAGATGAGGCAGCAAAAACAGCACCATTTATACCACAGCTCATCTTGGCAGGAGCCATGCTGAGTCACACAGGGCAGAAGGTTGCCTTGGGGTAATATGTGTCTTCCAAAGAAAGATGAGTAACAGCTTGAGAAGTTACTCCTTCAGTGACTTCGACAGAAGTGGGTGCCTGTGGGCTCCACCCAGCAAAAATGAGATTCCATTTGCTTCCCTTCCTCCCTCCCCACCCTGTTTCTGCCAAGGATACTTTTCACAGGTAAGGCGTGAACAAGGGCCACCATTATGCTGGCTTCTGACTTTCCACTGCTTCCAAGTATGGATCTATATCCACAAAAGCCCCAGGAATGTGATGAGGAAATGCAACACTGACTTTTAAAAAAAAAGGAAACCTTCAGACACACCTCCAGGAATGCATGCTGATTTCAGCAGGAGCCAAGGCAGCTCTCACTCAGGAAGCTTTTAAACAGAGTCTCCTCTCTTTAGGGACTCGGTTGGGGAAGACACACCAATGGCTAGGCTGCTGGCAAAGAAGGATTTAAAGACACAAGGACTATTTAGGAGTCCACGGAAGTTCCCTTTGCAGCTATAACAGGCAAGAGTTGTGGACTGGTCAATTAATGGTGGTTGATCGTGCTCCAGTCCTAGGAGAGCTTGTGGCCAGCCACTGATAAATGTGCCACAGGTGAAGGTCAAATTATGAGTCCAGCTGCTTTTGCAGAATATGTTCCAATACCCTAGTGCCAAACTTCTTGGTGAGAATCATCTAAGCTGGTGGAAAGACAAGAGGCTAGACCTGATTCTGCCAGATCCATGGAATCTCTTCTCCTTTAAGTATGCCAGTCTTTGTTGCCATCTGCTACAGATAGTGTATTCAAATATTTCAAGTAATTCCTTCAATGTTTATTTACTGCTCAGTAACCTAACCCTAACCCTAACCCTAACCCTAACCTTTCCCACACTAAATTCAGTGGTCCAGACTTCAGATCTGTGGCATGCATAGCCCAGCTTATCCACAGATTTCCTTCCAGCATTCTGTTCTACACTAATGTGAGAAGCCAGAGCTCATGGCAAATTAAGTCGTGGCCAAATTTGGAAGGTAAATCTAATATTCAGTTGGGGGAAAAACCTCACTCCCTGATTTAGCAAGTGAAGCTCTTTCCTGCATAGCAAAAAGTGGTGGTGGGAAATCTTCACCTGCTAAATTGCTTTACACCAGAGAGGCCCCAAAAGTGATGTCAAGCTACATAGTGGTATTTTCATTGGAGGAAGTTGTGGGGCAGAGTGAGAGGGACTTTTGGATAACAGCAACAATTTAGTTCAGGGTGATCCACGTGATTTGCATTTGCTTCTCCAATTTTGCCTGCCTCTGTGTGTAATAAATGTATAACTCAAAGGTTTGGGCAGATTTTGTTTTTGAAGAAGGCTATTACATTATTTGTCACTTTTTTGTTACTTTGCTTTTTTAAAAAAACCCTTAAGGTCAATAAGAAAATTATAACCACGCTGGGAAAAAAATCAACTTAAGATACATGTGAAATTATCCTCTCAAATAACAAGGAAGTAGCTAGAAAATGTATTTGTGCACCAAAAAATCCCCCAACTCACTATTTGGGAATTTTATTGGTTCCACCAAAAATCTGAAGTCATAGTCTCAACCCATTATTTTACTCCTGAAATACAGCTAAAAACATAACCAGTTACAGACAACAGGATCTGTGATCAGTTACCTCCAAGCTTGTGTATTTATGTATATATGTATCCCATATCTAGGAATTCCAAAGGTCAACACAATTCTGAAATGTTAGGAGTTTTATTCAGAAGTGTTATTCACTTTTCCTAAGTTCAAAGCACACAGTATATATAAAAGAAAACACTAGGATTCTCTCCCTCCCTTTCAAGAATGTGGGAAATATCTATGCCTATTACCCACACCAAGCTGATGAGTGGGATTTTAAAACCTATGTCCATCTAAGTGGTAAACTCCTCACTATTCTTCTTTTATCCTACATGTTATCATTAGGGCTTACTCTAACTTGGAAAATTTCCCTGTGCAATGTTCCAAGATCTGCATTTCCACTCCCCTCTACTTACCAGCAAGGATCTGGAAAATGCCAGTAAGGTAGAATCGTCCACCCTTAGTGAGAGTGAACAGTTGGCAGAAGAACAGGAACAGAGACAAAACACTGAAGATGATGGAAAGGATCATCAAGGCTTGGACAGACTGCAGCCATTCTGGAAAGAAAAGCACAGCACAAAATGGTCATTAAGTATTGAATTCTGAATGTGATCTGGCAAAACAGCCCTTAGATAAAAGTAGTTTGATATGAGGAAGCCAACTTTTCCTTCAGCTGTTTGGTACCTGTATTATCCTGATGGTCTGTATTAGTAATGGCCAAACACATTAAATTGTTAGATTGGGAGTAGCCCTCTTCAAGCATAACTTTAGCCACAAGCACACATATTTGTCCTAGAACTCAGAAAAGTTATTTCTGGACTACATCCAGTTGGGAGACTAAAAGTTGCAATCCAAATACACAGACACACACAAAACCCACCAACATTTGCAATGTTGAATCTAACAATGAAGCTGCTACTAAATATATCCTTGCTATCAGTGCCAGAGCCTACCTGCCCCTCTTATCATTTTGCATTCTCAATATCAATGAGATGGCAGCTCATATGCAAAAAAGTAAATGAGCCATACATGGTTTTATGTTATTTTAACTATTAAATTGTACATTCCAATACTTTTTTATTTATTTTTGTCTGGCATTTAAATCCTTCCAAACTGATTTTATTGTAAGCCATGTAGAGAGCTCATAATAAAGGGCATAATATACCTACCTGTCTTAAATAAATTAAAACATAAAAACCAAGCCCAACCATTAAAAGCCACTTGCCCAACCATCAACATAACAACCAAGAGCTCTTAAAAATCTATTAAAGTTTTTTCCTTACACCTAAAGGTCTCATACTCTGGGTTTTCAGCAGTACTAGAATTCTCCATCCAGCAAAGACGTAAGGGAAGGCATGGCATTCATACAAGAAAATAAAAGATGCATAGAGGAAATCAATAGAGGAACAAGCACCATTTGAAAGGCCAGAGTATTTGAAATGGAGTACCATGGCAATGAAAGTGGCTTTGGACATATTCAACAATGGTGCAATAGACACCATCCAGTGCAGCTACTCTCACCACTATAGCATTTTATAAACAAGGAATGCATTTGCTGGAACAGGCATGCCAGTTTCCAAGAACATGATGCTTTGTTGATCTGCTGCAGAAAAAAGAAATTTCTTGCATGAGCCAGATATAAACCTAGTTATGTTAAGAGCATACACACAGGACTCAATCAATCTTAAGTGAGTCATAGTTACATTGAGTTCTACTATATTAAATGGTTCTATGTTAAGCATCTATGGATCCATCCTTATGGGACAAATGTGGTAACATATGAAAAAATGGCTAGTATCTAGTTGGAAACAATGGTGTCTGAAAAGACCTTCACCCACTGCTATAGAGACTGGCCACATGAATTTGAAGTAGCTAAGTATTTGAAGCAACATCCCTGTTCCTATTTGGAACCTTAGGAGATCCACTTGACCACAGCAGTCAGGAGACTCATGGCATGAGCTCAGACAAAGTGATCCTTGATGACTGAGTCAGCGGCTGAGCTATTTGCATGTCTTGGGGTAGCTAAGTGCCCTTGCAAACACAACAATGAACACTCAAAATGTCACAACAGCATTGCTTCATTGGAGGAATTTTTAAAGTGTCAATTTCTATATGGCATCATTCACTCTTGCTGATAGAAACAGTCACAATGGAATCTAACAGGCCAGACCCACATGAGGAAATGGCTTGATCTACACACATGGACAATTTTTCAGTTGGTATAAGTTACTATAGCTCAGGGACTTGTAAACTTCGGCCCTCCAGGTATTTTGGACTTCAACTTCCAAAAATCCCATCCAGTTTACTGGCTGTTAGGAATTGTGGGAGTTGGAAGTCCAAAACACCTGGAGGACCAAATTTTGCCATGCCTGCAATAGGTGTTATTTTCCTAGAAGTGCTGAAACCTACAAACTAGTAATAAAACCTGCAAGTGCAAGCTCTGATGAGGGCTCCATCAGATATTCTCAGCTTTGTTTTACCCATTTAACTCCTTAGGAAAGGGAATGAGAGAGTACAAGGTACCATTCTGTAAATTAGGGCCTTGGCAGAAGGTGCAAGTTTTGTCCTTCTGGACCATATGCTATTTCACCCCATGGCATGCAGGCATGCTTTCATTCATTCCATCTGACATTATAATTCAAGTGTTGTGTCCCGTCCTCACCCGATACGTCTAGTGCATATCTTTTAAACAAAACACAGAAGTTCCCATCTTCACAACACCTTATTATACATGTATCTGCAAAGACAGGTGTTCTAAAATCCAAAAATAATTCCAGCTTTGGGGTTTTATTTTTTACAACTACTTAAAAAATATTTTAGCACTGACACTTTCCTGTAACAAAAATGAAGACATTCCAATACTATCAGAAACATCTAAAATTTCTAATTTTAATTTTCTGTAGCCAATCTACAGAACAGAAACAACATTTTTGTTCAATAGACCTTTCAGATCTCTCAATGCATAATTATTTCAAGGACTATCTTCTCCTCTTGCTCTTTAATACATGTTTTGTTTCCAAAATAAAAACTTATCTAACGTTTAGAATGTAAACCCACAGATGTTTGCTTGGAAGCCAACACAAACCATATTCCCCACTTACTTTTAGGGGAACTGATTGGGACAAAAGACATTGTAAATATGTGGTAGTAGGAAAAGAACATGTTTTGGTGGTTGTATCCATAAGGTTCCACAAACGACAACAGTTTATTTTACATTACTGCATATCAATAGTATATAATTTTTATTAGATGTGTGATGTTTCACCAAACTCAACTTCCAACACAGTTAATAAGTAGATTAATAGGATCAGGATTATCCAAACTGTACACACTATATTATACTCGGTGTTCATTATTTGTTATTGATCATGCTGGTAAGGCTATAAATAGAACTATGTGATTTCAATGAAGGATTTCTAAGCAAGGATTTCCTCCTCCATCTGCTGATGTGGTTTGCAAAAAGCAAAACTATATTGTTGTTCCAGTACCCTAATTAGATAAGCAGCAGGGCACATATCAATGTATTTCTTGTGTCTCTACTACAAACTCACTTTGATTATCTAATAGGAACCAAATATCTCTAAAAAGGGGACAGTTTGCACTAAAATGAACAGAAGCTGACTCATAATATCAAAAAATGCAATTTTTCTAACATTCTGTCCTTTTCTAATATTAGACAAATGAAACATACAAGATATTCAAGTACATTTGAAATATTAAAGTTTTATTTATGACACTTGTGCAATTATCTAAGTACATTTTGAAGGATAGGAATTATTGTAGCTACTCCCACATGGGACAATTTCAGAAAGTATGGTATAATGAAATTCCTCCAATGGAAATCAAAGGCTCCTATTTTTAAAAAAAACTAATCAAGAAATGTTTGCTTTGAATCAAATGCTGGTCAGAGGAAGTTTTATTAGAGGATGAAAAGAGACTGAATGGTGGTGCTTTCAGAGAGAGCTGTGAGAGGATAGGTTCACACACAGCTACATAGAAGGCAGGTTGTACTGGAAGGATACAACAGTGTGAGTGGAGCAGGCTGCCTGGAGACTCCCTTTGCAATCCCTACCATATATACACATACATATATACAATCTCCAGTTGGAAGCAAAGCCTTAGAAGAAGTAGTCTAGAAAACTGGGTGTGTCTAGCTTAGAAAAGGGAAGGTTATGACATGTTAAAATATTTGAAAGGACATCATATTGTTTTCTGCTACTCTGGAGAGTAGACTCAAGCTTTAGGAAGAGAACTTCCATATAAACATGAACTTCCTGATGGAATATGCTGCCTAAGAGTGTTGTGGAGTCTCCTTTTTTGGAGGTTTTAAAACAGAGACTGGATGACCATCTGCCAGGAATACTCAAGATCAGTAAGATCAGTAAAACTTGTCCAGATAAATCCATGGTCTGGTTCCATATAATACAACCTGTTATCTGAAAACACTTTGCAAAGAAAGTGCACAAAAATGAGGAATTGAATGAGATTTGAAATTAATCAGCATTATAAATACACCTGAACAGACCCCTTAGAAAGCCATCTTATTCATTTGCTTGAACCAAGCAGAGAAAGTAAAATATTTACTTTCGCGCAACGACAGATCTGGCATTCTAACACAAAACTCAAAAAAGCTGCCAACTCATATTGACCATGTTAGGAGAAATATAAGTTTTCTCCAAATATTGAGAGGCAGAACTGGCTACCAGAGCAAAAATACTGGCTTCAAAAATATATGTGACATCCTGATAAGATAAAAGAAAATATAGCATTGAAGTCATAGGTGGAAAGAATGTATTACAGCTTAGATTGGTGCCGACGTCAATGGACTAGGTTAACAATGGAAATAATGCTATGTGTGGAATGAAAATAAGTAATAGAACTGGCATAAGCTACTTTTGGTAGCATAAACAGAGTGCGTTGGGGGGCTGTATTTTTTTAAAAGATACACGCAGTAGGCTGGATCAAGATATTTGCCAATGAAGTGGGCAGAATAATTCTTCAACTTTGTCATTCTCTAGATGCCCCTCCATGCTTCCAACAAGAAGGGTAGAGAACTCTACTGGGAGTGGTAAGATCCTGTGGTATAGTGTCTGATCAGAAACAGTAAACATAGAAACACTGGGCTGATTTTCTGTGCTCTCTTTCTTCTGCTGCTCTGTGCAATAATCAGCAGAGTCCTCTGGCCAACATGGGGAGCTTTTTGGCTCTCCTCATACTTTGGGTGCATTCAACTCAGTATATGGCACCAAATTCTGCTCAACTAGTCAACATGAAAAGTGAAAAGCTAATCTTATTTTTTCTTGACAATATTTAAATTTCTTTTTAACAGGGATAGAATACTGAAGCCTCATCTACACTGCCATATAATCCAGTTTCTGAATCCAGATTATCTGTTTTGAACTAGATCATATGCAGTGTAGACTTATATAATCCAATTCAAAGCAGATAATCTAGATTCAGAAACTGGATTATATTGCAGTGTAGATCTGGCCTGAAGGCCAGTGGGGTGTAGTGGATTAAGTGTTGGAGACCACTTAATCCATTTAGAAATGCAGGA